ATTTCAGCTCTGTCCGTGTGACCCAGGTTCTCGCAATGGCATCCAAGTCAACGCGTATTGGTCGTGATGGAAAAAAATGAATGGATCCCTTTTTTGCCCGAGGGTGTCAGTGTAGTTGAAGATTGAACGATCAATTCATGGTTGTTTGCTCAAACTCAACTTTCCCAATTTTCGCGGAGGCATCAATACGACAGTCATCGTCTCATCGATAGCTGTTCAGAAAGAAGTCAGGAGACAACCGTCAGAAACCTTAGTTGTACATTGGCTATTTGTTGGTGTTAGAATAAATAATTTTCGAGTCGCCAAACTGGTTTTTGCGTCCATTCGTACTAAGCGTTTCTGAGAAGCTTCGAGGAACAGCGTGAGTCCCAGCGTAGCAAGAGTTGGGCATTAACGTTTTACGGCACGTGGCTGACACGGGTATTTTTCCCCAACATGTGAGATAAAAATCTTCCCGTTTAGCATCGGACTGTTAATAGAAAAGTCTCGCCACATTTTTTGCATGTGTTGATCGAAATGACTATGTGAGTTCATTTTGAAATCCATTTGCAGCCCTTATCCTATTTTTTAACCTGCCCAAAAATCCTTCAATGGAATTTGAATGTGTCCTCGCACCGGGATCGAAAAAATCACTTGATAGTTTGACCCTATGATGAATATATCCCAGAGATGACTGGGAATTGTAACGTTTTCATTCGTTCATATGTTTTGTAGACCCTCGTTTTACAAATCTGGTAATAATAGGTGTTGAAGTAGTTGCTCTTCTGTCTGCTATCCTTTCGACGAATCCGTTTCGGAGGGAGGTGTCATTCAAACCTATTACCCAAATATAGTTCACTCGCTGCCGACCACGGTTGTAATTCTTTTTCACCAACACGGTTTCATCAACATGCACAACAACGTCTTCTCCACCCAACAAAGAAGTGATTTTCTCCATTTTCCTCGAAGCAATATCTCTGCAATGTTGATACCATTGGACTGTTGAGACGAGGCTATTCTTCGTCCCAATAGCTGCAGCTCTCACTGGCTGTCTCAAGACCCAGTAGTTGCAGATATACAAAATTCGCGTCAAGGAGAGCTGCGATCTTGCAAAAAAGTTCCTACGAAATATAAAAATTATCAGCTTACCCCTCTGATGCTAACTCGCTTCAAGCATATTGTACAACGGTGGACAAATCCATCAGTTTACCTGCTACAGCCTTTTAAAGTCATGACACAACCACACGAACAAGTTCTCTCCTTCCGAAAAAACCCTAAATCCAGGAAATACTGGAAAAAATTATCCTCCTCGAATGGCAACCAGAACCTTGATAGGGCACGCATTTTAAGTGAATCACGCGCCATAAAACATTGAACTAACGTTCGTGAATCTCATTGAATAATTCGACGTCATTCGCTGATTGGTAGTCAGTGGTGATTGAAGTTTAACTTGGCCGAAGATGGGATAGTTAGAGGGTATTGTCATCTACGTAAACAGTCTACTCTATTTAGAAGCTGCACCTTTCGACATAGTATCATTCAGTGTAGACTTCACATGTCAGGAAATCGATGTGGCCATTTTCGTGTGTAGAACAATACTTTTTGACAAAAGAATTCTATCAGTACTTGGAAATCACCTGTGGATGCTAGCAGAACTTATTGTGGGAATAGAAGTAATCATTTAGATGCATCTCACCGTATGTGTGTTTGGACACGAATTATCGTAGGTTGAGAGACTATTTCTGAGTGTATTTCATGTAAACTTACACTGTTTGGTGTAGCGTAGTATGAATTATGTGGACTCAATGTATAAAAGATACCTCTATTAATATTGTGTCATGTATCCTTACCTGACTGCCTGACTAACGAACGTAGGTGGTTGTGATGATTATTGCAAGTGCAGTCTCACTTAATGCATTAATTCACTGTGTGAAATCAAATGTTTAATATACTTAATTTCTATTTCCTCCAGACTTCTTCAGCGCGTCGCTATACTATGTGCGTTTGTAATAAGTGAATTCGGGTCAGTGCATGTTAAGCTGTGTTCGTGGGATGAAGATTTACTACTATAGTATTATGAGACTGTTACCTTAGTCATTCGTAACATTTCGTCTCTGTTTTTATACAATAGCACATTCTTAAAACTAAGTAGGAGTTAAATAATAATTTTCTACTGCTCGATACGCTTAAGTCGCCTTATCTAACCAGTTGCAAGTCTGTATACTGTTAAACGCCAAGTATGCAGTACAAGTAAATGTAGCAACTTAGGCTTGATAGCTAGTTCATTAATTTGCTAATATACTGTGACAACATCAAACAGACTGTTAACTTGACAATGAGCAAAGAAACAGTCTTTATTTATTTCGAATATACCGTTGAATGATGTGACTCTATCTAATATCCATCGTTTCTACGATCAACAAATGCAGTGCTTGCATACTACTTGAAGAATAGTAAATAACTTACGCCTTTATTTATCTAATTACCTCCAGTATTGCAACAGTATTCCCTATTCATTTGTGTGTACACTAAACAAGTCTTTCATGCGTTCTCCCACAAACCCCAAACTTTCTAGTGTCACAAGTGTTGGTGAAACTTGCTTCCCTGGTTTCAATACAAATAACGTTCAAAAATGTCTCCAGTCGACGAATCCTTCTTGTAGCATAGGTTCAGATTGTTTGCCTAGCCTTATTCTTAAACATGTGCAGATATCCTGTGTTACCTCTCATGGACATATTAAATGAATCTTTCTTCAGAAGTGTTGTGCCATCCATTTGGAAAGACATTTAAATTGCACTGATCCCCAAGTCATCTATTAGAACATGTTTCAAATTTAGACCTATTGCTATTATGTCTCTTTTTCTAAAAAGTTACTCTTACTTCACTTAAAACCTTTAACGATCCCAAACAACTCGCCTATAAACGCAGTAGCAGTACTTTGGATGCAGCTGCAGTCTTGCATCACAACATATTCTCCAGTATAGACAAGGGGGCTAAATTCGTCGCACCTTCATCTACTTTCCACTCAGTGCCTAGGGATGTTCTGTTAAATAAGCTTGCTGAAACTCAAACTGAGTGTTGAATTGTTAAATGGCTTCATTCTTATTTATCACGGAGAAAGCTGTACACTGTATACCAGTCGAAGTCGTCCACAACCAATTGTATTTTTGTTTGACGAACTTAATGTACATATGCATACAAAATGAACTTTGTCAAGTACGCGGACGATCCATCTATTTCAGTGTCTGTTAACTCCCAGCTAAACTGTACTAAGATGAACAGCTCTCTATTAGGAGTCAGAAAATGCTCTTAAACTAAATCCTTCAAAATGTCAGACTGTTAATTTCAGTTTCCGATGTAAAAGAAAGTTAGGTGAAGCTGTTTATTCCTATGACCATAGCAAATCAAGTATGACTTTAAATATCTCGGACTAATTCATCACAGTGTATTGGCCTTAAATGGATACCACATGCAGACATAATGATCATCAGCTAGGTATGCAAATCAAAGTAAACGCTTGAACCGTGCGTTCATAATTTATAAAGTTAACTCGCACGTAAGAACTACGATTGGACCAGTTATAAAGCGTTTAATATATTTAGACACAATTAACCTACGCTGCTTACTTCTATGACGCATTACCTGAAGCTACCTTAATGTAGTTTCCGCTGAAGGTATTCTCTTACAGCTATTACCTTAGTGAGCAACTTAACGTTATCTTTAAATAACAAAGTAAAAGTGAAAATTCTGAGAACTTTCTTGATAAAAGGATCGTCTCCAAGTCCAAAAAAGTAAATATATCATAATCTCTACGAAAGCGTTTAGAGGTACTTATCCTATCGTGTCAAATATCTCGCCATTTGCAGTCAAATGAAGAGTAAAAATAAATTTACCGAAGACACTGTGCTTATGATTTCTAGATATCATAATGCACCTTGAGGAAGAAGCTATATCCATAGGGTTATAACAGTCAAATGCGCGAAATCAGTCCAAAACACAACGGCCACGATTCTCAGTCACATAACATTCTACTTTGTTACTTAGCCGTCTAGTTGTATCAACAGATGTTTCACCAAGGAAAAGAAGACCACCGGTTCAAGGAAAATTTATTTAAAGGTTTCAGAAAAATCATAGACATCCGTATTTATGGTCACGGAGAGGTAGCAACCTCGAGAAAACTACCGACCGTGGACCACAACCTGAAGCGTTTTTCTTGCTACTTAAATTCTTACCTTTAACTGGGGTAGTCCGTACACTCGCCAGATCACCATGTTATCCACTTTTTTGATCGTTTTGCAACATATCGAATGGCTGATGACACTGGCTCTGCTACAGGCAGTCCTAGTTCATGTATTTGGATCTAGTACATTAGGCATTTAATAAGCATACGCAACACTTACCCTATAGGGGCTCCAATTTCCTCTTGTTCGCAAAAATAAACACAAGCACAACACATTCACACCTCTTGTGTGGCTCAAACTTGTATGACTTAGATTTTCTCACAATATATCTGACTTTTCAACTGATAATAGACGCACTGATACTATCCCCACCTTCTCAAAAAGTTTCAAAGCTTTTTCAACTTCATCCGAGGTTCTAAATTCTCCAGGTTTAATTTGATCTTCGAAAACTTTGCTAGTATCAACTGTGGTCGTGCTCTCTTTACAAGATTCACTCGCAGATTGTTGCATGCTGTAAACATGAACGTGAAAGATATTGTTTTTCCCAGACTTCTAAATGTTAAGTAAGCAAATGAGCCAGCAGGAAAAACAACAACCAACGAATGAACTGGAAACAATAGCTTCTGCCAGCCAAACATGTTCAAGTGCATAATTTCCAAAACTTCTACACAATACTAATTCAATAATAACTGAAGAACAACTAAAACCCTGCAACCATGCATGAATGCAACGTACGAAACAATTACAATAAAATGAATACATTGACCTAGTGGTAAAAACTTTCGAAATCAACGAAATAAGTGATTTTAACAACAACGGAAACAAAATGAAGAAAAACGCAACATTTATTAACAACGCGCATCAAGATAAGTGGTGAATAACTGCAGTATAAACGGAAAAACCAATGCGTAAACGAACGACTACGGAACTGCAATCCAACACGGACAAAAATGCCTTTGAGCGTCCTACTCCACCAATGTCCTTGTACTTGACAGACAATTTCAGCCCTGAAATATTGAACGACTAGCTATTGACCTTGGTACGGAAACATTACGTCCTCTCACGTGGTGCGAGTGTGGTTTGCCTGTTAAATTTTTAGTTTTGTGATTGGAGTTAGAAGACAACAGGAACATGTTAATCCTTTTTTATTAAGCATCTAGGTTTGTACATCCGCTTATAGAGCTAATCAAACAAGGGGACTGAAGACGTCTCATGGGAGTGGGAACCATTGTTGTCACCACCCATAGGCAGTATTAAAATATTACTGTTTTCGTTACTTTCTACTATTATTAATAAGCAAAGGAAATGATGCTTCTAAGTACTTTGTTACCTGGTGGAAAAGTAGGTAAGTGTCATAATTACTTCCTCAGATGTTTTGCAGCCTTAGAAATTTGACTCCATAATAAGGAGAAAAGATCCCGCCTAATTAGTGTTTCCTCGTATAAGATAATTGGTTAAATATTTTGAAAGTATGTATGAGTCCCCTTTTTCACAAGACAAGGCTGTTCGGTAGATTCCTGGTCAAGACTTATGTGGGAACATATACGAAATGAGGATCATGTAACCACCGATTCTAATAAAGACCCTACATATTGCCACTATTGTTTCTCACCCAATAGTTGCTGATAAGTGACAGTGCCGTAGGTTTTAACGATTGATTCATTATGGCGTTTAGTGTGTCTACACTAATAATTGCGTGCGTGATGCGGATAGTTACAATGCAACGTTGGTGGGAAGCATTCATCTTTATACCATCTTTACTGGCTATTAGAATACATTTTTAGCATATGTTACTGTGGTGAAGCTGATGTATAGCATTCTAGTACTTTTTTACGGTTAAAGCTAGTTAAAGGTACATAACGCTGAAGAGATTACCTTGTGTGAACAGTGAAGTTTACATTGTCAGATACAAATGAGAAAGCAACTAGCAGTGTATTCATTACTGTATCTTGAAGCACTGTGTCTGCACTGTAAGGACGATTTACCAACTAATACCTGCATTTTTCTGGGCAATAGTCTATATTCTTACCTAGGTGATTCGCTGATATAAGGCAGGCAGTTCTTTCAAGAATTAAGGATTACATATGCAGTACAAGTTAACATGAATTTCTGTGTGGTATACTATTGTTTTATTTAAGATTTTCAGCGCATCGCAACTGTAAAAATTCACCAAACAATTTGATAACCTCGCGGTTACTGTATATTTTTTTTATTTCGCCTCCACTTTTCTATTAAAGTAAGGAAATTGGTAATCTGACTTTCGTACTTGAGTGACATCGTACGCAAACCTGCAGTATTTTACAATGGATGTGCACAATACAATGTGTTGCTGCTAATACCATTATTATTACTGCTTGGTCAAATTGTATGCATAATTACAGCATGATTTAAACATTTTAGTAACCTAACATTTACATTCCTGTACTTACTATGGTAATTCTCAACTGTTGCTCGGCATTTCTTCAATAGACTGCTGTACGCTGAAACTGTTATAAAACTATTAGTTTCCACTATTCCGACTGCAAGTAGTTGGTAAATTATTGAGTAAGTGAAATCCATCTTTTATATTGTTCCACATCTTCCATTGATCTGTTCAAATTGAGCGAAATTCGTGTTTGTCTGAGCGTCGATACAAGAGTTGTGACATGCTTCACAACTAAAATGAATGACATTTTAAGGTCTACATCAGGCTGTCCCAGCCAGTGAGCACTGTCCACTATTTAATGCCCTACATTGGCTGACAGAGTCTCGACATAGAACTTTGCATAGGACTGTATCACTTCAAGTTACCATATTCCATATACTACACAGCTGTAGAGAAAAAATCGGAAGAAATATAATGAACGCAAACGCACAGCCTGAACTACGAGAGCCCAATTGATGTGGGAGGTTACAAAAAACGATTTTGAGGCATACCACAAAAAAATTTGAAGGCTTTGGTGTTAAGATTCTTGAAGATCCCAACAAGTCGGTCCATACCTCTGAAAGTAGCCTATACCAACTGTCTGAGACCTCATCCATTGATGTCATGCTTACATCTAATTAACCCTAACTCTTCCAATCCAACTCATTGTCAGCTAACATTTCTCGACGGCGAAACCTATGACTCAGTATGCGTAACACGTGTCCTAGTCATCTCAGTCGATGTAGCTTCATAGATTGACTTCCCTTCCTCATCTAACGCTCTACACTAGAGTTAACGCCAGTTGGAAAATGCCACACGGGCCGTTTTTATCCGTGGTAAACTTCCATCAGCAGTCAGCCCACTGGGGGTTATGCAACCTCCCAAATAAGCAAAATGGTCAACACCATATTATTTCACTCCCTATCTTTAAGCTGGGAGTCAATATAGTCCAGTTCTGCAGCATCATCGCACATTGACAGGAGCAAATGTCATGCTTAATATTCCAAAATATATTCCCGAGGAGGATCGGTTTCTACATCTCATTCAAGTACGTATTGGATAAGTGGTTGCAGTTCAGTTAAGCCGCTCTTCGGTGTTCGCTCCAACTTTCTGGTCTTCCATCATGAGAGGTAACTAAAGCACTGTTTGTCTCGAAGATTGTCTTTCTTATAATTGGCTTTGTACAACTCCTCTTTCCAATATGTCCTGTAATAATCATACGTGGATTAGCTTGGCTAATATGGTATCTAAATTTCTAGGTTCAATAATCATGCGCAAACTAAGTGGTATTTGGTAGGAACAAAGCTGAGAAAATCAGTCAAGTTGCAGACCAGGTGGAGGGTTTACTGATCATATCTTCACCCTTCGCTATATTATAGAACAGGCAAACACTTGCCATATTCCTCGACCTGAGAGCTGAATTCGACTCTGCCATCGGAGAGGCGCTGTGACATTTACTGGTCGTGATGGGAATGTCGCAGCTGTCTAATAGCTTTTGAGGAGTTGTCACTTGAAGCAATGAAAACCAGGAGTCTCCATTTCATCTACTTTTGTGTAATATTATCATGTACTGATAGAACTGGCAACTGAATTTACCTGCTAAGGAATTGACTTCTTACCACAAAAGTGTCTTGTGGACGTAGAGTATTCAAATGATGTCCTCCTAGGTGAGGACGCTGATAAAATACAGTCTTCTGAACATCTTGAGCAGAAATCTTAGTACGTTTGGTATGCGGTTCGCCCTCATCAAAAGCAAGATGATACTGCAGAACTGGACTATATTGACTCCCAGCTTAAAGATAGGGAGTGAAATAATATGGTGTTGACCATTTTGCTTATTTGGGAGGTTGCATAACCCCCAGTGGGCTGACTGCTGATGGGAGTTTACCACGGATAAAAACAGCCCGTGTGGCATTTTCCAACTGGCGTTAACTCTAGTGTAGAGCGTTAGATGAGGAAGGGAAGTCAATCTATGAAGCTACATCGACTGAGATGACTAGGACACGTGTTACGCATACTGAGTCATAGGTTTCGCCGTCGAGAAATGTTAGCTGATATAGGACTGATGGTGGTCAGAACAAAAGCTTGCATTAGTTCATGAAGTCCAATATTTGGTTTGAGTCATATAGGGAGGTATGAACTAACTGGTTGTGGTCATCGTATGCTAAGGACAATTGTCTCAATTGATATAAGCATAAAACTTGGGCACTGTGGTAGAGTATAACTCCATTATAGATAAGATTTTATTTTGATAAATCGCTCAGTGTTTACAGTTATATGAACTGATGACGTTTCGAGCACAAACTATTGCTCATAATCATATCAAGTAACTCACACAGCTTTTTTCTTTCATTTATATACATGTGTGGAATGGATTAGATATTGGATTAAAAAACCAATATGAGATAATGTCCGTTCAGAAATAATAGTACGAGTGTTATTGACCTATTACAATTATACGGGAAATACGAATGTTTTATACGAGTGCTTTTTTTATAGTCATAATACGTTACTTGTTAGAATGTTTTGATATATTTGAATTGGGATAGAATTTTAAGATTATTTATTATCTTTTTCTGATTTGACTGGTGGCAATAATACGAGTGTTGTTGATCAATTATAATCAGATGGGAGATACGAATGTTTTTGTAGTCATAATAAGTTACTTGTTAGAATGTTTTGATGTGCTTGAATTGAAATAGAATTTTATCTTCTGATTTGACTTGAGGTAATATTATCTTCCATATTTCTACTATTTGCATTGAGTCACTTCTGTTGCATGTGTTGGGTGTATACTCGATGCATAAGCATTCCGTAATCAACCTCTCTCTCCACCTACCTATATTACTTTTTAGAATTTTAACCCTATCCCACCTTATTGTGTGGTTTTTCGTTAATGCGTGAAGTGCAACAGCTGAGCTTTTCTCTAAATTACTTATCTTTTCAGTGTCAGGGGTAGTCAGATTATCAGAACATAAGGATTTAGCTAAGGTAAGAATGGTTGACCCTGAAAACGTCAGTGGGTTGATCGCTGACGAAATATCAGCACGGATACAGAAGTGTCGTTTGGGATGTGACAGTTCACGCCATCTCTAGCTTAGTAGACGTGATATCCGACTGGCTGTCGACTGAAGGGTGTGTGTGCTGCTCAGTAGTTCGTTGTGTTTTTCCCTTATGGCTGTGAGCCAGACCTGGCCACTGGAAGTGAAAGATATGTAAAAAACTGTCTTAGGTTATAAGTGTTTGTGTTCTGTCTCGCCTGTTAGGTAGAATAATAGGGTGAGTGATTTATAATATCCAAAATTTTTTTGATTTACAGCTTGATTCCACACTGTATTTTTGGTACAAGTATGGAATTTTCAGCATGGATATCGGTAGCCCAAATTTTGCAGGCCGACCATAGATATCAGGTGTGCGCCGGCGTAGGCTCGAACCCCGGACCATGTGCATGGTCGGCGAGAGTCATAACCACTGTGCCACCGACGCACAGTGTTCTTCCCCATCACTATTCTTTCTGTCTCATATCTCTGTTTTGAATCTCTTCTTACTCTCTTCTCTTGCTTTGTGTGTTACATGAAGTGTAGCAACTCGAATTGTATACTAATTAAATGCACAGACATCGTCGAGGCATCTGTACAAGAAGCCGACATGTCAAACTGAGACCGAGCACTTCGGTTCAATCAATCGACGGGAAAATAAAAAAAATTCAATTCAATTGGTGGTATAGTTCAAAATCGTTTTACCGGCTGCAGAGGCATTTACTCTTAGTGATATGTCACATCCAATAAAACTCTATTGCCCTTCTATATTACTATTACATTTTCTCCCAAACTGCTGTTGCTTAGTGTGGTCCATGGAGAGTGGCAGTTTGAACTGCTGCACATCTGTGCAGTTCCACATTGAAACCAGTTAATCGGTCAAGTAGTCGTCTGATGTTACTTACGACCGATGTCTTTCCCATCTCTCTTTGTTACCTACCAGTGTTCACGGTTTCTGTGGAGAGTTTTGGTGGGTTTGAGCAGCCTTTACTCTTTGTCACACAGAGGACCTGCTGGATTCAGTCTTGTTGCGTCCCATGGTTCGCACAAAGCAGCAAAAATCTGTTGCTGCTCACCAACTTTTAGTTTTAGATTTTCAACAGCTACCACTGTTTCTGCAGCTGAGTAGACATTATGCTAGGCTTCCGTAAATAAATGCTTTGTATTATTATGTTAGGGGCGTAGCAGTTTTGTAGCTGACTGTTTCTTAATTGCGTTCAGTCGTAATGTCTTACTTGACACCTAAAATAGGTCATTTGGTACTTCTACTGGGAATAGAGATTCTGACTCACCGCAGAAGTATTTTAATAAGTGATTTCCTTGGCTCAAAGAAAATCTGAATTCATTATAAGGGAACAAATCTACGCTTTGGTATTTTACCAGTGATAATAGTTTTCCTAAGAATCTAAACCTTTCGTGGTTTTATCAGTTACCTCTTATTCACGATTCCTTAGCACATATTGTGTTTTCTGCTTCTTAATGCATATTTTGAATTGCTACGTCTCAGTGTTGTCATTTAACTTGTTGATTCGTGTCATAAGCTGCTTGATATTTTTCACATTCTCTGGTTTTTTTTATTCTTGTAGGTGCACGTTCGAAATTTGCATTTTGCAATGGGAGATCTCAATCTACTGAAACCATATGCTCTCTTTGAGCAGTTGTTTGAACAAAAAATCCGGATAGAAGATAGAAACTGTCTTGATTTCGCTGATATAGATGTGACTGCTAATGTTCTATCGTGTTGTCAGGGTTCAGCAGTGGTGAAGTTGGGTAAAACCCATGTGATCGCGGGTTTAAAGGTATAAAAAAAATCTTTAATCTTGACTGTTTTAGGTGAAAGTTGTTCCTGAAAGTGGAAACTCCGGAAGCATCACTTGCAATGTTGAGTACGCTGGTCTCTGTTATAGAGGTTCACGTCTAAACTCTTCTCAGCCTAAGTACGCACAGTGCCTTTCTTCATCTGTTCAGAAACTAGTGAGCGATTTCGCACTGCCATCTGTTGAAAAGCAGTTAAATATATTCCCAATGGGTAGTGACGAGAAAAGCTCAGTACCTACGGCTTCTTATGCGTTGAAGCTTGATATTTTAATCCTGCATGATGACGGATGCTTACTTGATGCTTGCGTACCTGCTGCACTTGTTACCCTTTTGACGGCAAAATGGACGAAATTGTATGCAGTAACCAACGAACGAGCTGCAGGATCTTATTTAGACTGCTATAAACCAGGACCACTAAATGAGAAGAAATCATTGGAAGTAAAGGAATGGCCTGTTTCGTTGTCTTTCTGTTTCATTCCGCGTCCGGTTGTTGAAAATAAACATGGTGGTGTTCCGATTATTGCTCAACCGACAAGGAGAGAATTGGATATCTGGGATACAGATGCTGGTTCAATCTGCTTGACACTTTCACGGAGTGGCGATATTATAGATCTCTCCATGGTCAATGCATTTTTGACAGGTCTCTGGGATACTTTGTCTATTCCCAACAGTAATGAGAACGACACTGTTAGCGTATGGAATATTTTATTTGATTCTGCAGTGTCTCATGCTCAGAAAATTCGGGAAATCATTGAAAAAGCAGTGAAATAGTTCCTGTTTTTGAATATAAATGTAAGGAATAAATTCCAATCTACCTTTTCCTCTTTTTTACTTTCGTTATCTGACATGACGTTACAACTCATTCTGTTCAAACGCTATTACGAACCTAATTATTAGACCACTCATTCATGTAGTATATTTCCGGATGTTTAATGGATTATAAAACACTATTCATATCTAAATTTTTTTTCATTCATCAAACGCTCTAAGAAGTAGTTTTCTTGCATATTTATTTGCTGCATATGAATAGGATAATACCATGAGGTCTTTTTACCTGTGATGAACATTCAACAAGGTTGTACCTGTGACTGGATATTATGCATATAGCTCCTGTCGTATTCATTTCTAGAACGGCACAGTTTCTTATTCCAGTTTCCATGCAGAATATGCTGAGTTTTTGAATTCTCGCTAACAGATACTTGCTATGCTAGCATAAGTTATAGCAATGAAACAGATTTGGCTTTCATATCATCCAGATACTCCTCATCACTTTCGCTATTGTTTATGATTTTTCATTATGCTTTACGTCTTACTGAATGAATAGTAACATCTGTTAGAGATAACTCGATTTTGATTTATGAAAATAAAAGCTAACGAACAAAGTCTCACTAATTTAAAGATAAAACTTGGTCACTACGGGTAGAGAATAATTCCATTATGGATAATGGAAGTCTTCACTGAGTCTAGAAACTGGTTAATTAAGTGTGTACTGCTTATACCATTACAAATCTTCAGTTAAACTGATGCTCTTGCCTGCAACTTTGGATAAATTATTTCAATGTAAACTGAAACCGTCAGTGTAGATTTAATCGAAGCATATACATGTCATAAAAAGCTATTTGCCTATCAAATCAGAAGAGGTGTATCACTAAAAATACCAAGTATTTTTCAATCACTTCATCCTACCCTTTTGGGATTTTCAAAGTAAAACTAATTACCATGACCTATAGAGCTAACTTTTAGTTGTTTATTATGCCACAGTTTATATATTTTTTACCCGAAACAAACTTGGTACAATATAAGCACCACAGAATTCGCCACACAAAATCACTATAAAACAAAAGTTAGATGAGAAATGGCTGAGTGGAAGCAGATTAGCTTACTCACCAGCAGCATTCAGTGGAGCCTTTTTTACTTCCTACTGCTTTCAGCAATGAAGGAGGAGTAGAAACTGTTTCACACTCGCCGTTGATTTCGGTTCTTTACACTGATTCGTGGTGTATTCAGTAACTGAGTCACATGTTATCTGGGACTCAAACTAGGGAGTGGTTATGCACCAACAGATTCTCGCTTCATTCTGCTAGTCTTCATCCCACCTCACCATAACAAAAGATGACGAACTCTGAATTTCTGCACCCACTTGCAGGACTAGTAAAAAGTAAACTGTATGGGAGCTTCTGGGATGAGGCTGGTAGTTTAAGTTCAAGAAACCTAAGTCGGTAGTAACATCTTCACAAAAAGAGATGAAAAGTGTACAAGAATAAGGGATACTTGTCAGCTATGATAAGTGCAATAACCTTTGAAAGAGATAGAACTTCAATATCTAGTCAAGACAGATAGCTGGGACGTTAGACAGAACACTTTGAGGAGTAGTTCAACTGACTTACAACTTCACTACATTCACCCACTATACAACCCAAGCCTGAACGTGCCATAGACATAAGTCCCATAACTCTACACGATGTTGTAAAAGTTGTCGCCACTCTAAAACAATAAAAAGCAGTGGGACCGAATGGTTTCACTCCGACCTTTAAGGATGGTGATGGTGATAATGAGTCGTTGCTCAGACTAACTCATCCGTCAGACAGGTATAAGCCATTGACCATCTCAGTGTATAAGGAAGATGACAAACTTTCCTGTGGTAGAATTGGACTGCATTGATTAACAGGTGTTGTGGCGGTATCTGGTTATGAACTGAGTGCCAGGAAAGTATATTATGTTGCTTGAGAAACTAAAATCAATCCGATACAACTCAGCTGATGTGGCTGAGGAGGCTAAAGTGTATGTTCAGAATGGCAAACCGCTACCTGCCCTAAAGATCAGTGTTAACTGAACTGAGATGTAGTGCTTAAAATAAACTAAATTCATTTCAAAACAAGCTATTCATATAGATGCGAATAAGTTGTAGGCAGCGTTACTAAGATGTAGCAATCCTTAGTTTTACCCAGCATTCATAATAGATATCACAAACTTGTGACTTTGAAGAACATTAATTGTTTCATATACAGCATGTCTTTCTACTAACTTTATCGTAGTATAACCATAAGTTTTATTTCTATTTCCGTTATAGCGTTGCTGTTTGGGTTTTCGTCATGGACACATTTTCTTTTTGTTCAGTGATATGCTCCATACAAATTGTTAACATATTGAGTGAGAGGTATTCGAATTTTATAAATAAACAAACCATATGATACCAGGAGGGTGAAGTAAATCACACAGAACTTGATATCTACTAGGAATTGTAAACCTGAACTGCGTGAAATTCAGAATGTCTTACAAATTTCCTGTCCATTCTCCTCTTATTTTTATTACTTTTAACGTATTTTGTTAACTTATTCAGTAATTGAAGTTTTCTTTTTCAAGCAATCTCTTGTATCTCATTTCAATAAGCAGAAGGTCACCGTTTATTTTTGTACAGGCGTATAAGTTAGTTTAGAAGAAATATAATAAATACGTCAATTATACAGTGTGCAGTAAAGTATTTCTCACTTGCTGATGGGGATATTTTGCTACTTGTATGATTTCCGTTTTCTTCACCCTATTTATCATTCTTCTGTTGATATTTGTGTGTTTCCTATAATTAGATTAGTCGAAGTTTACTTAAGCAAGTGCGTTGAATGTTTGCTTTTGAACTTTAACACTTCCAAGGCCACATTCTATGACTCTTTCGTACAGTGTCAAATCAATCCAATGAATATTTCTTCATCAAGTCTTGCCTGATGAGCAAGCCTGGTGAGGTAGTATTTACTGTTTCTAAACGGTGGTTGTCAACTATCGTACACTTCGAGTTCCTTATGTTCATCCATATCTTAACTATAAATTTTTCGTTACTTTCCTTGTGATTAGAGAGCCGTCAGTCAATCGCCTTCGTGCTTACCCAAAGCTCTATGACTAACCTGCTACTAACATATTGCGTCATCTGGAGTGAGCATGGTTAAAAACTGGTCTTTTCACATCTACCTCAGTGGCAGCCACTCGAACGCAAACTAACAAGAAACTTTCGTAATGATCATGAACAGTGGTGAGCAACAAAAGTGAAAGAGATAGAAAAGTTATCGACGATTGTTAACACCACGCATCTATATAGACTTATCAGGGAGACAGGTGGTAAAAGGCAAATCACAAGTGAAACAATCTCTGAGGAGATTAGACGACTGGGACGTTGGAAACAACACTGAGGGGCAGTTTAATTGGCGTACAGTCACCCTCAATTTACCGAACATCCGGCACCACCCTGAATGGGATATAGGCACTGGTCCTCCGTCCCTAAATGAAGCTACTAAGGCTGTCACTCGTCTAGAATGAGGCAAAGCAGCAGGACCTAACGGGATGCCTCCAGAGGTGTTTAAGTACGATGGAGACAGTTTACTGTTTGCTTTAACTAAGGTATTAGGAAGCGTCTGCGAATCAGAGGAAATCCCGTCGTCGATTATCCAGACATACATGAAGGGAGACAAGTGTTCCTGTGGTAATCTCAGGGGGATTAGCTTGACCAATGTGGTGGTATCTAAAGTTCTAGGCTCAGTAATCATGCGTAGACTGGGCGGTGATCGGGAAGAACAAACATGAGGAAACCAGACAGGCTTTGGACCAGGAAGAGGGTGTGTTGATGATATCTTCACCCTTCGACAGATTCTGGGACATAGGCATAGTTACCGGCTTCCAGCGATCGTTATATTTCTTGACCGGAAAGGCGGGATTCAACTCTGTCGACCGAGAGGTACTCTGGCTATGTTTGGCTGTAGAAGGGATGACGAGAAAATAAATTGCACTGATCAACGGACTCTACTCGTACTCATGCAGCCAGGTGAAAGCCTATGGCGAATTGTCATTTGAATTGGTGACAACTAGTGGTGTCCGTCAGGGATGCCCACTATCCCCATTTCTATTCAAATTCATCGTAAATGCACTAATAGACGTAGCCCTCACTGTTGACTAGCGACTCAGGGATTGACTTGTTACCATCAGGGAATGATCTCGGTGACGCAGAGTGTGTGGATGATATAGTCCTCCGTGCTAGTTGAAGACGCTGACAAAATTCGGAGTCTTCTGAACACCTTGAGCTGCAGTCTTCGAGTGTTTGGTATGTGTTTCGCTCGTGCTGTCAAGTGTGAGATGATGCCACATGATTGGACTGGACTACATTGACTTCTAGCTGAAAGATAGGGAGTGAAGTGGTGGCTGAGTGTTTTGACCACTTCACTTATTTGGGAAGTTGTATCAGCCAGCCAGTGTCAGTGGGTTGATCGCTGACGAAATATCAGCACGGATACAGAAGTGTCGTTTGGGATGTGACAGTTCACGCCATCTCTAGCTTAGTAGACGTGATATCCGACTGGCTGTCGACTGAAGGGTGTGTGTGCTGCTCAGTAGTTCGTTGTGTTTTTCCCTTATGGCTGTGAGCCAGACCTGGCCACTGGAAGTGAAAGATATGGAAAAAACTGTCTTAGGTTATAAGTGTTTGTGTTCTGTCTCGCCTGTTAGGTAGAATAATAGGGTGAGTGATTTATAATATCCAAAAAAACTATATTGTTCTTCCCCATCACTATTCTTTCTGTCTCATATCTCTGTTTTGAATCTCTTCTTACTCTCTTCTCTTGCTTTGTGTGTTACATGAAGTGTAGCAACTCGAAGTGCTGCACGTCTGTGCAAAGTCCTACGTTTAAACCAGTTAGTCAGTCAGTCAATAGGGTGAGTGTTATTTAGGTTAGGCATCGGTCGAGTGCTAGGTAAGGAGGGAGGGAGAATCAATAGACTAGGGAGCTGTGAAGTTACATCGACTGAGATCATTGTGACATGTGTTACGTATTCCTGGTCATCTGTCGTCTTCCTCGACGGTCAATGTTAGCTGACATAGGAGGGATTAGGTTGGAAAAGAGCCAGTGGCGGTCAAACCAAAACATGACTCCATCAGTCGGCGAAATCCACTACAGTTAGTTTAAGGCAGTTACGTAGTAAGGTGTAGACTTGTTTCCTGGTTGGGGTCCACGGGATGTTTAAACCAATGAGAGGTGGAGACAATTAGTGATGTGGCTCAAAATCATTCTAAATGCATAGTTTAGATGCATCCACTCCTTGTTACCTATAATTCTCAGTGAAACTATTGCTCTTCGGTAATTCTTTTCTTTTTGCCTTATGTCTTTCTTCACGGTATGTACTTGGCGTTTCTTTTTACGTTCTTCTTCTCCGGCTGTGTGTGCTGATTGAAGTGTGCCGACTCGAACTGTTGAGCATCAGTGGAAAGTTCTATGTTGAAACCTGTCAGTTACCTCAGCAACCAAGTTTTTGCTGTAAAACAGGACAGAACTGTGCATTGCTACACAGTACACTTAAACTTTTTAATTTGTAGCTGGATAATATGCCGGTGCATCAGGGTCGACGCAGATAACTGAAGTGTTGAATACGATCAAACATTTCGTTCTCCACTAGTAAACCAGAAGTTGCTAAAGTAGAGTTCATGCCAAATATAATGAAATTTAGTGACGATAAAGATATTACTATTACCTTGTGTTTCTAGTGGAAAATAGGGCTTGAACAACACATCTCCACATTGGCTTATCTTCTACGTCTTCCTCGGCTTGGACCACTATCACCCATAGTCTCTCATATGTTTTTAACACGATCTTCTCCATGTCACATTTACACCGACGACCCACTCGTGGCTTTCCATTGGGACTCCAGTCGAGCAATGGCCTGCATTGCACGCGATGTCATTCGACGGTCTCCCCAATATATGTTTGATCCATCCTCACTTTTTCCCACATAATTGTTGGGCGATTGGTTTTTGGTTGGTTTGTTCCCACAGTTTCTTATAACTCATTCTTCCTGGCTGGGTAGCGGGGGAAGGCAGTTGTTGATGAAAGTCTGCAGTGCCCGGTTGGAAATCCTTTTCATTACACGCAGTGCAAGTTTCTGACTCGCACAAGAGTGACTTTACATTGGGGTTGAAAATCCGAATCTTGTTATCCATGCTGAGGTGGGTTGCTGTGCATAAGATTTTCAAACCAGCTTCAGGTTGATGGAGGCGTATCTCGCCTTTCCGACTCTGGTTAGCTTTGATTGCTTCATCAGTGCCGTGTGCCTGTAGTTGAAACAATGCTTCCCAGATAAGTGAAGGAGGCAACTTCTGTCAAACCTCTCACGTTGATGGTGATTCGTGCTGATTGTTGTTGCCGTTGATTGGTTATCTTCATCAGCTCCGTCTTGTCTATGTTCACTTGAAGTCCTGTCTTCTCTGTCTACCTCTTCAGTCAGTTTGTTGGTTTTCGCCTGCAAGTCTTCAAGTTTGTGTGACATTAGACATATATCATCCACACGCGAAATCCAGAAGCTTCTTATCGGTCGTCCAGCGTATTCCTGACAGTCTGACGCACAATCCGGTCCACCACAACTACGAATATCATCGACGATCTGTCTGTCTGTCTGTTTTCGACATAGAACTTTGCACAAATGTGCGGAAGTTCAAGTCGCCACACTCCGTGTAGCACGCGAAGCAAGAGAAGAAAGTACAAGAAAAGCATAATAGAAACAGTGAGCAGAGGTGTGAGACAAAGGAGTAATAAAGAAATACAAAACAGTTTCATTGAAGATCATAAGTCACAGGTAGTGGATGCATCTGCGCCACTGAGAACGATTTTGAGCCATGTCACCAATTGTTTCCAACCATAGATTTTTGCCGTCCCGAGGACCCCAGCCTGGAAGTCTACACCTTCCTACGTGGCTAAGACCAACTGTTGTGGATTTCATTGACTGATGCCAAGTTTTTGTTTGACCGCCGCTAGCTTTTTTCCAGCCTGACCCTATATCCGCTAACATAGCTCGTCGAGAGAGGCGATGACTTGGCATACGTAACACATGTCCTAACCATCTCAGTCTTTGTAGCTTTACGACTTCGTCGATTGATTTCCCCTGTTTACCTAGAACTCTACGCCTAACCTCCATGTTGCTCACCTTATTATGCCACTTTAAACGGGAAATAGAACGCAGGCACCTATGATCAAAGGCAGCTAGTCTTTTCATGTCTTCCACTCTCAGTGGCCAGGTCTCACAACCATACAGGAGGACGGAGCGGACTGATGAGCAGTACACCCGCCC